TAGTCTCCCAATCCGGCTGGGCTGGCAGTTCCCTCACACATAGATCTGGCTCCCTGCTAGGGCTTGCCTCCCTTGCTCAGGACATCTAATTTGGTTGGCTTTGCCAAATGGCTTCTGGTGAAAGAAGAAAGCAAGCAAGCCAAGGAAGGTGTGTTGTTGCTGTTGTTTCAAAGAAGGGAAGTGAAGAGATTGGAAGGAAAAGACAAGAGAAAAGCCAGATTACTTTTCTAGAATGCAAATCCATCACCTTTGGGTTGTGTGTGTTCATTTGCATTCAGACACACACACACACACACACACACACACGCAACCCTTGAATGATTTCCCATTGCTCTAAGGCTGTAAATTCCATCACAAGAGTCTGAGAATCACAAGAGTCTGAGAGATCCTACACGATGTAACTGCTACTGATCTTCTTGGGCACTTTCCCCCTCGTTCTCCAAATGCCAAGCACAGGGGTCCCTTCTCAGTTCTATTCCATCTTCCTTCTTGCCACAGGTCCTTTGTATGTGCTGCTTCTCTGCCTCTGTGATCTAACCTGCCCTGTTCATTTGGGGCAGAATGCTAAGAACTGAATGTGTGCCCCCCAAATTCATACTTTGAAGCCCTAATCCCCAATGTTACATTATTTGTGGGTAGGGCCTTTGGGAGGTGATTACAGTTAGATTATGTCATGAGGGTGGAGACCCCATGATGGAATTGATGCCCATATAAAAAGAAGAGACAGAAGATTTTTTTCTCTGTCTCTCTTCCTGCACACACCAAGAAAAGGGCATGTGATGACATAACCAGGAAGAGGGCCCTCACCAAGAACCCAGCCGTGATGAGACCTTGATCATGAACTTCCAGCCTCCAGAAATGTGAGAAATAAGCTGATGTGTAAGCCAATCTATGGTATTTCATTACAGCAGTCCAAGCTGATTAAGATAGTGACCTATTCTTCAAATCCCTGCTGGAGCACCATCCCCTCCTCTGCAAGCCCTCCTTAATTCCCTTAGACACCATCAGGCTATTTTGTCATTTACTATTTTACTCATGTTCTTACAGAACACAGTGGCCCTTATTTCAGCTCGTAATTACGCACTCATTTGGGCCTGTGTATGATTAATGCTACCAGTCCTCACTAAACTGTGAGCAGTGTAAGAGCAGTAATGATGTCTCTTTTTGATCATGATTGTGTCCCCAGCTCATGGCCCAGCATTGGCACATAGTAGATACTCAATAAATATATGTCGTGAGAATAAACTGTATTTTTAGAAACACAAATTGTTTAGTCAGCAAACATATAATTTTTTCTCTTTTGAATAAAAGGCAAAACGTGGAGAAATAATATAATAAATATGGCAAGGTGGGTGACCATATGACTGTACAGAATCCTGAAAACTCTCAGGTGTAGGAGTATATAAGCTTTGTCATCTAGAAGAAACACTTATAAAGTCACAAGAAATGATCTATATAATGCATACAGGAAAATAATGTGAGAAAGCTTTTACCTGAGAAACTTGATGTAAGGTATACACAAATGGTAAACAGTTGACCCTTGAACAATGCAGAGTTTAGGGGTACTAACCATCCTCGCAGTTGAAAATCCATGCATAACTTTTGACTCCCCCAAAACTTAGCTACTTAACTGCTACTTAAGTGCTTTGCAGCCACATGGTGCACTGAGTCTGGGGGTGACAGGTGTGTGTGTGTGACTTAGTTGGTACTTAACTACTTAACTGCTAATAGCCTCCTGTTGGGCAGGTTACTTAGTTGTTTGGTTAGGTATGTCATACCTAACCAAATATATTTTTCAAACATATTTACTGAAAAAAATCCTCGTATAAGTGGATCCACGCAGTTCAAACCCACGTTGTTCAAATGTTTGCTGTATTTGGTTCACATCATTTTTTAGGTGATTCAGGATGATCAAAATGTTAGTCCTTCCAAAGACAGAATGGAGTTCCATTCAGAATCCAAGTGTGAGCATATATGTGCATATCTAGACCTGGACTGGGTGATTTTAAATTGCTCTTGAAAAAAAAAAGATATTTGAGAACAGCCAAGGAAATTGGTTTTTGTGCTTTTTTTTTCTTTTTTTAAGAAAAAGAATGAAGGATAACTTGCTTTACTCAAACAGTAAGACTTTTACTAAAATTATTATAACCTGAATAATACATATAGTAAAACTCTCACTGAAGTTATAATAACCAGAACAATATGGTTGAGCACAGGAATAAACAGATCAATGGAGCAGAACTGAGAATCAAACATAGTTCATATAAAGAACTAAACATGTCAAGGATGACATATGGTTCAATAAAAAATAAATTATATATTTAATTAGAGGTGTTGGCATAATTGTCTGTTCACCTGGACTAAACAGGGTAGGAATATACTTCCCAATACATATTCAAAAATAAATTCCAGAATATCCCTGGTGTCTATCAAGAAGATAATAAATAGATGAACAATAAATTCAGCAATAAATAGGAACAAACTCCTGCTGCACACAACATGAATGTATCTCTCGAACATAATGCAAAGTGAAAACAACCAGACACAAAAGAGCATATACTGTATGATTCCACTTATATAAAGTTCTAAATATGAAGTTCTAAAACAAATCTATGATTAAAAAAATAAAAACAGTGGTTGCCTGTGGGTAGGATTGACTGAGAAGGAACATGAGGGAGCTTCCTGGTGTGATGGCTGTGTTCTATACCGTGTTGGGAGTTTGGGTTATGAAGTTGTACGCATTTGTTAAAACTCTATAAATGTACACTTAAGACTTGTAAATTTCATTACATGCAAAAAGTTCTTTAACAACAACAACAAAAAAACTCCACTGTAAACAAATATTTAACTCCAGTGAAAGACATGTATGCTAAAGCGTTAAGGGGTGATATGTACTAATGCCTGCAACCTACTTGGAAATGCATCAATAAAGGAAGAGGTTACGCTGGATGGACAGAAGGAGAACAGAAGGTATAAGATAAAGTGGATATAGAAAGATGTTAATTCTAGAATCTAGGTGGTGGAGATATGGCTCTTCTCTGTCAAATCCTACCAAACTCTCTGTATGCTTGAAATTTTTCAAAATAAAATATTGGGAAAAATAAATAAATTTCAGGTATACTAAATATTTAAATATAGAACAAAAATCTCCTAATAAAATAGTACAGAAAAGTTTAAGAAACATTTTATAACTTTTGAGTGATGAAAAATTTTAAAACAAACCAGGAAATCCAAAGAGACATAGAGGAAAAGATAGATATTTTTGACTTCATATATATTAACCACTTTGTAAGCCAAAGGATATCATAAACAATAACAAAAGAAGGGGGGAAACTAATTATATAATATATTGCAGAAAAAGTGTCATCACCCCTAATATGAAGAGAATTCCTATAAGTTTTAAGAAATCAACAAACAACCCGATAGAAAAATAGGTAAAGACATGTACAGGCAGATAACAGAAGAGGAAACATGGATCCCAGTAACTGCGTGAAAGACATTAATATTTCTAGCAATCGATTGAAAATGCAAATTAAAACAAAATGGATTAGCAAATTTCTAAAGACTGAGCATCTCCAGCACTGGTGAGGATACTGGAAGATGGACAACATACATTCCTGGTGAAGTGTGAATGTTTACAAACTTTTGGAAACACAATCTGGCAATAAGAATGTCCAAGAGACACAGAAAAACGCAGAAAAATAGGCACAGTATGATCCTGATTTTACAGAATAAAAATATCTAAATTTTTAAACGAAAAGGAAAATGTGGAAGGTGACACACTTAACTGTTGGAATTGATACCTTGGGGCAGGGGTAGGTCACATTTTTTTTTATAGTCCATGAGCTAAAAATGATTTTATAACTTTGTAAAGGATTACGTTGCAAATGGTTATATAATCATCTATGTATATCCTCTATTTTAACTCTTGGCCAACAAAGCCTAAAATATTTACCAGATGGCCCTTTAAGAAGAAGTTTACTGACCCCTGCCTCAGAGGAATTGTAGTTTATTAGTTATTCTTTTCCTTTCACTTCTCTGCCTAGTTTTTATTTGTACAATATTCATGTATTACTTTTGCAAATTTAAAGAAGATAGATAGGTAGGTAGATCAATCACTCTGGGTGCTGTTGAGAATGGACGTCAGGAGACAAGAAGAAACCGGGGACCCTATTTGGGAAGCCATTGGAACAATCCAGGGGAAAGAGAATGGTGCTCTGGAATGGGTGGTGGCAGGAGAGATGGAAAGAGAGGGATAGATTTAATAGGAGCCTATAGGAGTTGCTGAAGGACTGGACATGGATGGGGAGGTACAGGGAGAAATCAGGCATGATTCCTAGGTTTCGGTCTGCCCTTGAGTGCTGACAACTACAGAGATGGAGAGACTGGGGAGGGGATATTGGAGAGTATATCAAGAGCCCTATTTAGGACTTGTTAAAGTTCTAAATGGAATTGTGTGAACTAGGCAGCTGGATACGGATGATTAGAGCTGCTCAGGGTGTGGAGGGGGAGGCTGAGCAGGAAATACAAACTTAAGAGTACTTTTCATGTAGATGGTACTTAAAGCTCTCTGGAGGCAATGTAGAGGGAAAAAAGGAGACTGAGCCTACCTGGTGACGCAGTGCCCAACCCAACTGGGGCCTGAAAGCCTAGGCATGCCGGAGCTTGCTGCCTGACAACAGAGGTCTCTGGAGCTACTGGCCACCTGTTTGGATTCCCCTAAATCATCTGTTCCAACATTTCCTTTTTCCACTGGCTGAGGAACACCATGGCTTCAAGGTAGGCACTGACCCCTCCTCACAGCCTATGCAAATGCTTTCCTGGACAACGGGCTGCTGTTGTTTCTCCTGGAGAGACAGTCCCCCAGCATCTGGCTCCCCAGTGGAGAGATCAGTTCAGGTCCCAGTCCCTCCCAGTATGTCCTGCCACGGATCCTCAGTGATGTTCTCCCACTTTTTATTCATGTCATGCTTTTAGTTGTGGATACCAAAAGGACTCACCAAGGAGCTGGTGTAGGTGGGGTCTGAGGTGTCATCCTGGAGGTAGCGGGAGAGGCCAAAGTCGGACACCTTGCACACCAGGTTACTGTTGACCAGAATGTTCCTAGCAGCCAGGTCCCGGTGCACATAATTCATCTCGGCCAGGTACTTCATGCCAGCCGCGATGCCCCTGAGCATACCCACCAGCTGGATCACTGTGAACTGCCCATCATTTTGCTGTCATGAGACATAGAGACATCAGGATCAGTTGTTACACAGGAGCCGAGGTGCCATGGTCCCACTGCTTGTCGGCCTCTGTCTGTACCGGGTCAAGCTGCTCCTGTGCTCTCCGCCCCTCAACCCCATCTCTCTCCTTGAGCACTCTGCTCTCTTCTCCTTGCCAAGCCCTGTTGATTTCATCTCCAAATTACATCTCAAACCCATCTACTCCTCTCCATCTCCACTGCCACCATTCCATCCAAGTCATCGTCATCCATCACCTAGAACAGCTGCCCTGCACCTGCCCCCGCTACAATCCATTCTCTCCAAGGCAGCCAGAGCCATCTTTTTAAGACATAAATCAGGCCACATCACTCTTTGGCTTACAGCTCTCTAATAGCCTCCCAGTGCATTAAGGGAAATCTCCAAACTCCTTAGCGTGGCCCATAAGGCCCCACGGGATCAGCTACTGCCCCACCTTAGGCCACCGTACCCTTCACTTCTGTGCTAAAGCTACAGTGACTGGCGACCTTTCAGTTCTTCCCAAGACAAGCTCTTCCCGCCTTGTGCCATGTCCTCTGTCTTCCCTCACAATTGACACCTACTTGCCCTTCAGGTCTCTGCTTAAATGTCATTTCCTTAGAGAGCACATCCCTGTAACTACTCCCCGCCCCCAAATATGATTAGCACTTTCTGACTACCATCTTTCAGTGCATGCTCTTAGTTTTCTTCTTAGCACATATCACAAGTTTTAATAATGTGTGCCTGTGTGTGTGTCTGTCTCTGATGCTTGACTCTAAGCTCTCTGAGATGAGAACCCCATCTCTTGTGGTCACCATAGTATTATCAGTTTTACATATTACAATATTAACATAGATAGAAAGAAATTCAATAAACATAAGATGAAGGAATGACTGGTACATATCTTCCTTTTTCTAAAATTAAATATTGAAGGCACCTCCTTTGAGTAGTTCCAGTGCTCTCAGCTTCTACACTGGGATACCCACACCTACCTCATAGGGATCGGTGGGGCAGGGGGAGCTCACGCACAGTGTTGGGCACATGGGACCGTGTAGTGAATGGGAGCAGGTGCTGCTCCTCCTCATGCCAGCCGGCAGTGCTGCCCTCTGTCCAGTCACTGGTGGGCTCACAGTTTCTTGGGTGGATGAACCTCCCTGGTTAGAAGAGCTCCTGGGTCTTGTTCCTGCACACACTGGTTAAATCAGCAGACCCTGGCCCATGCTGCCAAGAACGTATTTTCCCATCTAGTCTAGCCCCAGCTGCTCCCCAAAGGGTCCTGAGCTGTGTTCTATAAGTAGAGCACTCCCACTCATCGGAATGCTCTGATTGAGGGAGAGGTAGAAGGAGGCCGGACACCCAGGGTCTAGTCCAGTTACTGCTGAGCACAGGCACTGGACAAGGTAGCCACAGACTCTGCCCCAGAGTCCTCATGTGAAATGCAGGAAGCATAAACAAGGCAGTAAGCTCCCCTTAGCTGAGCATCTACTGTATGCTCAATGCTCCCCTGCACATTATCTCACGTAAACACATATGAGACATGTCATATATGTATGTGCTCCTGCAAAAGCATTTTCCATGCAAAAATAAGTTTTTAAAAAAGAAAAGACCTGTTCTGAAAATACCCTGTTTATTAGAGAAAACACTTACAGTCAAGAAGTGTAACAATGCCAGCATGAACTGTTGAAGACTGCTTCTCATGCAAGATTGCATCTTGGATCCATGTTCCAGGGGTTAGGCCCCCTGAATTAGAGAAAACACTTACAGTCAAGAAGTGTAACAATGCCAGCATGAACTGTTGAAGACTGCTTCTCATGCAAGATTGCATCTTGGATCCATGTTCCAGGGGTTAGGCCCCCTGATCAATTTAGAGAGTGGAGGGAATGAACACTCCCCCTCCTTCCTGAGACCCCCACCAGAGGGAGGGCCCCAAACACACTGGGTTTGACACATTCCAAGTTCCACGCTATTTCTAACTCAAACCTTAATCACCTCCCAATCTGCCCAGGAGATTGGATGGATGCTTTTCTCATAGCATTTTCATCTCAGCAACTCCAAAAGAAAGTGCAGAGCTGCTTTTGGGAGACTCAGACTGGTTTCCGGCACATGCTGCCCATCTGTGAGAGCTGGATGTGCAGTGAGGGATGTGAATCCTTCTTCTCACTAATGCACTTCAGTCAACACCTTCTCAAGAAGTCGGCCAGGCTGTTGCAGCACAGGTGCTTTCTGCAAGTAGGTCTCTGGGGATTTGCCTTCTCAAAACGTTGTCACCCGACTTCTGTCTATTACAAAAATGTATCACAGCCACAAGTCACATGCGTTGTATTTTTCCAATTCAGTTTGCTATTTCCTCTCTGTAAGTGTAGACAATAATGTGGCTAAAAATGAACATGTCCCTAAAGAAGCCAAGGGTTGGGGGAGGGCACTTGCATTGGTCCATTTTTGTGTTGCTATAATAGAATACCTGAAACTGGGTGATTTATAAAGAAAAATGAAATTTATTGCTTACAGTTTCTGAGGCTGAGATGTCCAAAGACCATCTGGTGGTGATGACAGTGACCCAGGGGTCTCACATTGCAAGATGGTGGAAGCAGAGAGAGCAGAGAGAAAGACAGACTCTTCTCTTCTTTTAAAGCCCTGAGAACCACACCGTTTTTAATCCATTTACTACTGCGTGGTCCTACAATCCAATCACCTCTTCAAGGCTCCACCTTTCAATTACCATAATAGGATTTCCCACCCTCTTAACAGTCACAGAGGGGGCTAAGTTTCTAATACATAAAACTTGAGAGACAATTCAAGCTTCAGGGAGTTTGGGGAGCACATAATTTAATCCACTACAGCCCTGGTGGTGGCTGTGAACAACTTTGAGAGGAGTGAGGCTGAAAGAGCATCATCCAGTGATGTGTCTGATGTATCTACATTTCTGATTTACACATTTGAGTCTTCCTAGAGCTGCTTTATTAGCCAATCTGTTTTAAAATTTAGATCAGTCATCCCTACAGTTTCTGGGGTCAACAAAAGCTAAGAAGTGGTTAAAGGTCCAGGTTTTGGAGCCAGATGGACCCAGTATGGATCCAGGCTACTGCTCACTGGCTGTGTGAGCTTGGGCGAGCTGTTTAACTTCCAGAGCAGTGATTTCTGCAACTGTAAAGTGAGAACATAGCGCCCATTCTTCAGAGGGCATTGACAAGGTTACACGAGATAACACATCTGAAAAGGTCAAGCTTGGTGCCCTGTGGACACTAAGATGGCAGCACTGATCACTGCTACTATCAGCAAAGCTGTAATGTCTCACAGATCAGCTCTCCCTGTGCCTCAGGTGTGCATGGCGAGAGAGACTGGGAACACCTAGGGCCAGAACTCTGGGTTCCTCATGGCTTGCTGGGTGTGTGGGAGAGACACCCTGGGATTGCTGCCCTTGGAGAACCCAGCTCACTTTGCATTCCGAGATCAACGGGTAATGGGTAGGCATCATACTTGTCCCCCCACCCAACTGTAGTAGTGGATGATTGGGACCTAATAATGCAGTCCTGATGTTTGGCTCAACTAATCAAACATTGATTTCTTCCATGACTTGACTCTTGAATGGCAAGTCATATTTCACAGAATATGATTTGATCCTCCAAACTGGTCCTGTGCAGTAGGCAAGGCAGGCAATATTATATTGTTTTCATAGACAAGATAAAGGAGGCCTAGAAAGTTTATGTGATCAGCCTTAAATCACTCTGTGTGGTTTTGAGTTATAACAGTAATCTAAGTCTGCAGCGGCAAATTGCTTCTCCACCGATGTTCCATCTCTACTCAACTGGCGATGGCTGCCTCAAAAGCTGTGTGGAAATGAAGGCTGTGCAGAAGCTTTTCAGAGAGAAGAGCCATGACTGATTAGTGATGCTACTCTTATCTGGGTCTTCTAACTCCTGTCCAGTGCCTTTTCCAGTGGAATGTGTTGACTCTGCAATGGGCAATGCATTTTCTTTAGGATCTGCAGAAGAACCACACATCACAATAGGCAGAGTCATGCCTGCTGAATTCACGCTCTTGGTAAAACCTAAAGATGTAAACATATTAAGATTTTCTGACATGCTTAACAACTGTTTCAGAGAGAAGAGCCATGACTGATTAGTGATGCTACTCTTATCTGGGTCTTCTAACTCCTGTCCAGTGCCTTTTCCAGTGGAATATGTTGACTCTGCAGTGGGCAATGCATTTTCTTTAGGATCTGCAGAAGAACCACACATCACAATAGGCAGAGTCATGCCTGCTGAATTCATGCTCTTGGTAAAACCTAAAGATGTAAACATATTAAGATTTTCTGACATGCTTAACAACTGT